GCTCTTGAGAGTCCCCTGGACTGCAAGGAGAACAAACCTATCAATTCTAAAGGAAATCAACCCTGGGTGCTCACTGGAAGGGCAGATCCTGAAGCTGAAGCTCCAGTACTTTGGCCATCTCATGAGAAGAGAAGACTCCTTGGAAAAGACCTTGATGTTAGGAAAGTGTGACGGCAAGAGGAGAAGGGGACGACAGAGGATGAGATGGCTGGACAGTGTCATAGAAGCAACCAACATGAATTTGACACAACTCCAGGAGACAGTGGAAGATAGGAGGGCCTGGTGTGCTCTGGTCCATGGGATCACGAAGAGTCGGACACGACTAAATGAGTAAACAACGGTTATGCACATAGAACAGAATCAAATTTTGGAGACAGGATAGGAAGGTCTCTAATCCAGGTTGGTTGAGGATCCCTACTGGGGCTCTTGTAGTAAAGACCACCAAGAGTGTGACCAACTTAGGGGGGAGGGTATTTGCAGCAAATTGTACAGGGTCAATTCAGTGATCTTGCACCTGGAGGGTACCCACATCAGATGCCAGTCAGGTTGCCCAGTGTTTGAATCTGGTGTCTTCCACACCAAAACTATTTCTGTTGCAACCAATAAAATTGTTTCCATCACTTCATCCACCTTTCCAAAAATTGTGTTCTGTCATTTCTTTGGAGATTGGGAAGTTACATGTCCAAGTACACCAGCTAAGTGGAAAACATGTATGTTCATTCACTTTGACACATGCATCTATCCATATAATTCATAAAGCTATCCCCAATGGTAAAACTACAACATTCTCTCAAGCAACAGAAGTGAAAAAAGGTCCCGAGTTGACTTCAAATATGAACACATAATTCATCTGTACTCAAAAGTACTGTAGGACATTAAACCATTTAAAATTGTTGTTCTGTGATACATTCAAAAACTTTTTTTTAATCGCCATCAGAGTCAACAGTCTACTGCGCCAGCAGAGAAAATGGATGAAGCCTTATAATGAGAGCTACAACTATGCCACACTTTGAAATTAAATTATGAGACATATATCTTTGATTTTTTGCAAAATAGATATTGTGTCAAAAGGAGTTAAAATATCCCTCTGAAGGAAATAGTTGTTTTCCTTCTTCATGAACATTCATTTGTAACATTTGAAAGCATTAAATTTGAGCTGATTATTTTGCATATAATAAAACTAATAAAGAGTCATCAATTTAATAAACATGCCTGGTTTTACCTTTAGGCACTAGGTGAACTTTTCAGAGAGCACAGAAACACATTTATAGTGCAGAATGAAATGTGTCTTTCTACTAATATAGTCTGCTCCCTTCCCTAAGCAAGAAATCCTAATTTATATCCCGCCTAGAGTAGTCCACCACGACTAGATAGGCGGGATATAAATTAAATAAATAATAAATAAACAATAATAATAATGTTCACAGTTTCCTAAACTTTTTGACAGAAATGTCCCTTCTTTAAAAAACAAAACAAAACATTGTTAGCCATGTTGCTTCATGAGGCAGAAAAAAACTTAAATCCACAACCTAGCTATACCTTAGTTAGAACTAACCAAAAGTCAATACATGTGGGAAAGCTTTCTAAGGTTTGAGAACTGTTCTTCAGACTTGATGGCAAAGTAGGAAACGGAAAGCAAACCGAAAAGTCCATCGATTAGGCCATAACATCCAGTTAATTGCTGGCCCCCTACCAAATGGGTCTCCCTCGAAGGTGAATCCAAAGAAGGGCCTCCTCCAAAGACCAATAAGCTCATAAGGGAAGTACAGTTTTTCAGATGGTCTGTTCCCTAGTTATACAGTATTTACAGGTCACAACCAGCACTTTGAACTGTACCTAGAAACAGACTAGTAGCCAATTAAGCTGCTCTAAAACAAAGTCCAATGTTCACTATAACCAACCATGATCCACAGTGTAGCCAAACCATTCCACAATGAGGAATCAAACTCCCAACCTTTAGCTCTGTAGCCAGATACCTAAACCACTGGGCTATCCAACAGTTCACGTGTCCACATCCAGCACAAATTGTGGTTCATTCTCAGAACAGCTTCCTTGGATTTCGTTAGAGTTGGATGTTGTCAACCTATCATCAGCATTGTATCACACCACACACACACCACAACTCAGAATAACTTCTCCCAGTGGTTTCAATAACATAGGTTCCAAGATAGAAGAATTTTGATGAACGTCATAGGCCAAAAACCAGTGACAAACAGGAACACCCCCCCCAGCACTTTACTACTACAGAAAGAAATGGAACTACTTTAAAATAGTGCCTCCACATCCTAAGGCAGACAGAAGACACATGATACCATGGCTGATGATACTGAAACTTGCTGAGACATTCAGCAGAAGAAAGAAAGAAGATAAGAAAGCACATTCCCCTGTCCTGTTCCCAGCACAGATTATCTGTCAAGTAAGGATGGGATGAATGCTTAGATTTTTTTTTCCCATTGTTTTTGCTCTGGTGAAAAAAGCTCTCAGCTATTGCAAGATTTTTCACTATTGAATGGGGAGGGGAGAGCAAGGGTTTTCCTTCATCGATAGCAGCATTATGGTGGAAGGGTGGATGGAATTATTTTTGTGCAAAAGAAAACTGTTGTATTTCATGTTAAAAGTTTTATTTTGAACAAAATGCACATCCTGAAATAAAATGATGAAATGAAAAAATGACCCCAAACTCTGGGGATCTTGTTCAGTGAAGAGAAATTGGGTTGGTTGGTTGGTTGGTTTTTGTTTTGTTCTCACCTGCAAGAAGAAAACGAGCATGAATTTATACCCCTCCTGCTAAACAACCAAAGCAGACACAGTTCTATATTTAGTATGGAAAACAAATTCAAAGCAATTTGGCAATCCTTATCCAGAAACCACTTTACTATCTTTCTAAATGTGCTTTAAGGACATCAGAGCCTATTCCACCATCAGTTTAGCATGCCTCATGCAGAGGCATCCCACCGCTGTTTATAAGAATTTGTAGATGAGAGAGAGCAGACATTGTAAAACATTTAAATTGTCATCCTCAGCATCCACACGATGTCTCCTGGCAGCCAGGTTCATGTATGTATGTATGTATGTATGTATGTATGTATGTATGTATGTATGTATGTATGTATGTATGTATGTATGTATGTATGTATTTATTTATTTATTTATTTATTTATTTATTTATTTATTTAAATTTATACCCCACCCATCTAGACTGAAGTCTACTCTGGGCAGCTAAAAATTAAAAATGGTATAAAAACAATATAATTAAATTAAAAACAATAGTAATATAGTTCAAGATGGGGTGGGGGAATTCCAGTGATGACAGGAGGGAAAGCCTGCCTAAAGAGCCAGTTCTTTAGTTTGCTCTTAAAAACATCCGCTGAGGGAGCCAGACAGATCTCTGCGGGCAGAGCGTTCCAATGGCAAGGGGCCACTGCCAAGAAGGCCTGGTTTCTTGTTCTCTCTGGGCCTCCCTCAGCATTAGGCCCCTCAGCCACCCTTCCTGGCTAGAATGAGTGGTTTGGGTAGATCTAGGTGGGAGGAGGCGTTCCACTAGATTTCGAGGTCCTAAACCATTTAGGGCTTTATATGTCATCATTAACACTTTGAAATCAATGCGGAAACAAACAGGCAGCCAATGCAAGGCAGCCACAGTGAGGCAAATGTGCTGATATTTTCTCATCCCACTGAGAAGTCTGGCCGCCACATTCTACACCATTTGAAGCTTCCACATGAATCTCAAAGGTAGCACCACGTAGAGTGCATTACAGTAGTCTAATCTTGAGATTACAAGCGCATGGACCAGAGTGGCGAGTGCCCCAACATCAAGATACTGTAGGGACGCAGCTGGACAATCCACCACAGATGGAAATACGCAGAGCAGACCACTGAAGCCCATTCTCCTCTTTCCTTCACACTTTCCTAATATCAGGGTGTTTTCCAGGGAGTCTTCTCTTCTCATGTGATGGCCAAAGTATTGCAGCCTCAGCTTCAGGATCTGGCCTTCCAGTGAGCACTTAGGATTGATTTCCTTCAGAATTGATAGGTTTGTTCTCTTTGCATTCCAGGGGACTCTCAAGAACCTCCTCCATCACCACAATTCAAAAGCATCAGTTCTTCAGTGGTCAGCCTTCTTTATGGTCCAGCTCTCACTTCCATACATCTCTACTGGAAAAACTATAGCTTTGATTATGTGGACCTTTGTTGGCAAGGTAATGTCTCTGCTTTTTAAGATGCAATCTAGGTTTGTCATCGCTTTCCTCCCAATGAGCAGGCGTCTTTTAATTTCGTGGCTGCTGTCACCATCTGCAGTGATCATGGAGCCCAAGAAAGTAAAATCTGTCACTGAAACATAATCTGAAACATTATGAACTTGGTAGAGGTATCCACTGAACTGGCAGAACGGTGCTGTGCCATCCAAGAGAACATACTGGTGAACAGCAGATTTTAAAAATATACATGAAAATGCTCAGAAATGTCTCCACTCCATACAGTTTTATAACCAAGATTATTCTGGATCACAGAGGTGCCTGGCCATGCTAAGACAGAACTATTTAAAGTTAAGATATGTGATTAATATCTTCAGGATGATGAAGAAGCCTTTCATAGTGGAAAATCACTACCAGATCACTGCTGCTGATTCCAATCAGGCAACAGGACCGGTAGTGATGATTTTACAATATTAAAGGCTTCCCTCCATTCTGAGGATCTGAAAACCTTTCCCAGGACAAAAGCGTTCCCTAGGGAGCCCCAGAACCTGAAAAAGGGTGGGGCAGAGTTAGGAACATTAAATTAAACTAAACCAAAGGGCATCATTGCTGAGTGATCACATCATCACTATTTACATGGTGGAGTTGTACCGACTACATTTCAACCACAGAGTTGCTGTTCTGAGGGAATAAATGAAGAAGAAAAGCAGACTCAGTACACTGCCTTGACCTCTGAGGGATAAAAATTAACACATAAATAAATAACCACAATAATGAATGTGCTTGCCCCTTCATACCAGTTACCTTTTGACCAGTGGAGGCTGGGAAAATTAAATCTCCTCTCTTCCTGTTCCACTCTTGATTCAGAGAGGGTAGTAATTCTTCTGTCCTGGCCCTTCGGCCTTCAGGAAGCTTTCTGGCTTTGAACCTCTTGGCCTGGCCTGCTTTGCTCAGCGCCCCCCTCTCACAAGCACCTTCCACTTGCTTAGCCGAAGTGGCTCGAAGCAAGTGTGGGCCCCGTGGGTCCTTTGAGGAAGGAGAAGGGGCTGCTGCGTCTCCTGAACCTGTCCCGTCAGAAATGGCTGAGGGCGCCTCAGCTGTGAGACAGGAGGCCTGGGCGCTTGTCAGAGCCACTTCCTCTTGCTCCCTGAGGTGGCGGCAGCTGTTGCTGCCACTATAGTGAATCACATTGCCAGAGCGGTGGTGGCCAAAACTATTGACGTAAACGATCTGGAATTTCTCTCGGCCAAAGCGAGACCCAGAAGCAGGCTTCATGCTAGTGGGCCTCACCCGTGGCATTACACAGGAGGGACTCAAAAGTTTCCTCCCCCTCCTTAGCACCACAGGGAGGTGTTAGGGCTGATCCAAAAGCACAGGGGGGAGCAGTGGGAGAGGCTGCAGGCTGAGAAATAAGGTTTGTGGATGAGAAAATGGTAGGGTTTTTTTTTCCACATTTGGTGCATGGGAAATAAGCACTTACATAGACATCTTGTACTAAGATGATGCATGAATGACTCATACTGCAGCTGCAAGGAGTAAGCAGCTTGTTTCTTGTGAAAAAGAGAGAGGAAGATAGGGAATGTAGCATCAAAATATTCCAGCTTCTTGCCTTGAAAAAAAAACACCCATTTACACTTACCCTGCTTCCCCGTAATAAGACCTAACCTGAAAATAAGCCCTAGTATGATTTTTCAGGATGCCATAATATAAACCCTAAACCAGAAAATAATCCCCAGTTAAATGAAAGCCCACCCTCCACCATTGTGCAGCAACCAGAAGAAGATCACACAACTGTATTTGAATAAATGTAAAATGTACATCAATTTTTTAAAAAAACACACAGGTAGGGTATGTATAAATGAATAAATGAATAAATGAATGAATGAATGAATGAATGAATGAATGAATGAATGAATGAATGAATGAATGAATGAATGAATGAATGAATGAATGAATGAATGAATGAATGAATGAATGAATGAATGAATGAATGAATGAATGAATGAATGAATGAATGAATGAATGAATGAATGAATGAATGAATGAATGAATGAATGAATGAATGAATGAATGAATGAATGAATGAATGAATGAATGAATGAATGAATGAATGAATGAATGAATGAATGAATGAATGAATGAATGAATGAATGAATGAATGAATGAATAAATAAATAAATAAATAAATAAAAGCCTTTATGCATTTTTTGGAGCAAAGATTAATGTAAGACCCTGTCTTGTTTTCGGGAAAACACAGTAGATCATCACTTGACTGGTTTTTAAACAGGAATCTGAAGCAACACAGACAGATCATGCACCGAGTTCATTGGAGCAGTAGGACCTGGACTGTAATGCAGATTTTCCCTGCCCCACACCAGATCTAGTCAGCTCGGTTTGGAAAGAAAAGTTATCAATATCTTGCTATAATGATCAGGACCTCCTTTTGTTAGATCAGAAGAGAAGATATCTTAGACAGAATAGGAACAGTGCTGATAAATTTAATAATCATGTTCTGTGAGGGTTGGCTGCAGTAAGGCAGTGATTTGGTGCTGCTAGGCTGGAAAAAAATCCCCACATAGCCCTTTTCTTCTGCTGCTAGTTTATATATACTTCAGAGAGAAAGCAATCACATAATTGCTTTATATGCAGTTCTGAGATTTGAAAAGTGTTACTTTAATGAAAAAAATCCAGCTTATCAGGTTCATGAAGGGAGGGGCAGAAGAGCCTGTAATGGCTACTGCAGACGGTAGGAAAAGCTAGATATTCTGGGATCCAAAGAGATATGTCTGAGGCAAGCCTAGCATTTGGCAGAGTGAGGAAAGTACATCAAGTGACAGATGGAGGGATGCCCCCTTCCCCCAATGTTCCTCTAGAATTGCTGCTATATTAACCATGTTCTGCCTAGATTCTAGTCTTGTCACCTGCTGCCCGCTTACATCATTAGCTGCCCTAAAAGCCAGCAGGACACGAAGAAACAGAAACATAGAGTAAAATATATAATCACTGATATGCTCAGCAGGTTTGCAGGAAATGAATCTGCTTCTGCTTTTCATGCTGCTCAGCCAATTAGCGAAGTTACACAGCTATGATCAAAAATTTCAGACAGGGCCTATGAGATTTAAATTGTACTGTAGAGAGACCATCCATTTCTGCATTGTACATGCACGTACAGCAAGAAACTGCAAAGCAGCATTGCTATCAAATGGTTAAAGGCTTAAAGAGGCAATCCTCAGCCCTTCGTGCTAGATGTGGTAAGACAAGGTAGAAAAAGCATTTTGTGACCTAATTGTAACCCAGGGACATCCAGCTGCACATTTTATTTTATTTTATTTTATTTTATTTTATTTACCAATGTTTCTGAACCCTTGATCTTCAACATGATCTTCAGGTCTTGCAGGTAGGTGGATTTTTGTAGCATAGTGCATTTCATCTGGCAACAAATTTCAGGTGATGCAAAATGATTATGTATACTTGAATCAAGAAAATTTTCTTGTCCTTCCCTAGAGAGCATACTATAGGTCTGAATAATGGAAAGAGAGAACAGATACAAAGCCATTATGAGGAAGCCCAGATCCATCCCAATTTTGCTTAAAAATAGAGCTGAATGGAGACATTTTTTGCAGGGCTCTTAAAGTTTCTTTACAGAATTCAGAGATTTCTCATTTCATCTAATGATAAGCTGTTCCCATTTCCTTACGTAATGGGAAATGAATTTTAA